CATTAGTGTGTGAACTTGAGGGATGAGAGTACCCCAGATGGAGGTGACATCCAAAATGAAGATGACATCCTCAGAAAGCATGAAAACACAGGAAAAACAAAAAATTCTATTGAAACTGCACAAGCAGTTTGGACATGCCTCAGTTGACAGACTGCAAAAACTACTGACCTGCTCAGGTAATACTGATGAGGAGTGCACCACAATCCTGAAGGATATTGTAAAGAACTGTGAGATATGCATCAGATACAGTAAACCAAAGCAAAAGCCAGCAGTAGTTTTACCCATGGCCTCAAATTAGAATGAAACTGTAGCTATGGACTTACATGAGCTAGAGCCAGGAATGTGGTATCTTCACGCCATTGACCACTTCACATGCTTCAGTGTGGGGAGCATTATTACCACCAAGAAACCCAGGGAGATAGTGAAGCACTTTATTCACTGTTGGATAAGTGTTCATGGTCCTCCACGCAGACTGTTCACTGACAATGGGGGTGAATACAACAATGAAGAAATGAGGGACATGGCTGAAAACTTTAATATTGAAGTGAAAACGACTGCAGCTTATAGTCCATGGAGTAACGGTCTCTTAGAAAGGCATAATCAAACCCTCACTAAAATCCTGTTGAAAGTAAAGAGAGACAATGGATGTGACTGGAAGACAACCCTAGACTGGGCCCTGATGGCAAAAAACTCTATGCACAATGTGCATGGCTATAGTCCCTACCAGCTAGTGTTCAGGCAGAACCCAAATCTGCCATCAGTTCTCACTGATAAGCCGCCAACTCTAGTAGGGACTAGCATGGCTACTTGGATAGCCCAGCACATCTCAGCATTACATGCTACAAAGAGAGCATTCACAGAAGCAGAATGCTGTGAGAGGATCCAAAGAGCCCTTCGTAAACAACTGCGACCCACTGATGACCGATATGAAACAGGGGATAAGGTTTACTACAAACAAGTGGTTTCTACACAGTGGAAAGGTCCAGGTGTGGTCTTCGGCCAAGATGGTGTGGTTATATTTGTTTGCCACGGGGGCGCTTATGTTCGTGTACATCAATCTAGACTTCGAAAGGTTGATGGCTCGCAAGGTATGCTGAGAGAAAGAGACAATCAGTTGATGGGAACTGAAAATGCCACATTACCAGATACCGGACTCAATGAAAATTACACTGAAAATGAAAGTGAGGAAGAGGTACCCTCAAATGATGAAGATGCTGAGGATAACAATGAGCCCCCTCACACATCAACACACCAAAGAGAGGATGATCATGAGCAATCTGATGCATCACAAACACACTCAAATACTACTTGTGAAGGACTTAAGCTGAAAATTGGACAAGTAGTTACATACACAGACAGTGGAAGTGGCCAAGCACACACTGGAAAAATCCTCAGCCACGCAGGAAAGGCCACTGGAACATACAAAAACTGGTACAATTTACAGTATGCAGAGCCTGAGGAAATTGCTGGCACAACTGGATCAGTGGACCTAGGACAAGTAGAAAATCTTCAAGTGGTTCCATCTGAGCATGCTGAATTATGTGCAAACTGCCATAAAGAGGACGTACTGATTGTGAATGATGATGCCTTCATGCCTGCCAAACACGCTGAACTCAGCAACTGGAAACAGAACAATGTCTTTGAAGGGGTGAAAGACGAAGGTCAGAAATGCATCTCTACAAGGTGGGTGTGCACCCTCAAGGAGACACAAGATGGTGTTGTACCTAAAGCCAGACTAGCTGCAAGAGGCTTTGAGGAAACACTGAGGAGCTCCCAAAAGACTCACCTACGTGTGCCTCAGAGGCTCTAAAAATGATCATGGCTGTTATATGTCAAAAGAAATGGCAGCTGAACTCCATGGACATTAAAGCTTTTTGCAAGGTAAAGCGTTAACCCGAAATGTCTACATTCAGCCTCCCCGAGAAGCTCAGAGCAAAGGAACTGTGTGGAAGTTGAAGAAGTGTGTTTATGGCCTGGCAGACGCTTCTCTGTATTGGTACAACAGGGTGAAAGACATTATGCAGCAGTCAGGAGGTACTGTGTCAAAAGTTGACCCAGCAGTGTTCTACTGGTTGGATGACTCCTGCAATGTGATGGGAGTCCTTGCTTGTCATGTGGATGACTTTATTTGGGGAGGTTCAGAAACATTCTCCACGACAGTCATCCCTTACTTGAAAGCAGCTTTTCAAATTGGACGTGAAGAACACAACAGCTTCAGCTACATTGGAATGGAGATTCTCTCTGTGGAGGATGAAATACAGGTGCAACAATGGATGTACATAAAAAATCTCCAACCCATTCCTGTGGACCCCACCAGAGCCACACAGCAAGAGGCCCCCCTAACAAACACTTTTGGGTTTGGGGCTGCAAGGTTTGCAGGATGGACACAACATCCTGGATGCCAAGGCTACTGTATGTAGTCAGGCAGGTTGCATATCACATCAAAAGCATAGATCTATGCATTAATGATATGAAAGAGATAAATGTAAGTCAGACAAATTGACCCCTAGTTCCGACGTCTATACCTATTGTGTGTGTAACAGACAACCACTCTCTTTTTGATGATGTCAAATCCACCAAATCAGTCACAGAGAAAAGACTACGACTCAAAATCAGCAGTATCAAGGAGCTCATAAACTCTGGGACTATTCAGCAGATCATGTGGTCAGCAACTAAGGAGCAGCTCGCTGACTGCTTGACCAAGAAGGGGACGTCTGCACTCGTTCTCTTGAGGGCTCTCAGTGAAGGTGTATGGCAGCTTAAAAGCTAAATGGACTAAACAACAAAGACTTTTTTTACTGTTCAACTGTAGTTATTAAAGCAGAAACTTTAAACCTGGCTATCTGTTAAGGCCACTAAGAAGAAAAAGAAATGTTTTCTTTGCACTGTTTTTCTTTAAAGAGAAAAGGGGAGTTTGTTATGTGCTATGTTTCCCACTGCGCATGTGCGAATTACATGTATGTTCTGAGTAAGGAAGTGCGGGGGCTGTCATTGTTATTGTTGTGCTGAAGTTTGAGTAAAGTCTTGAAACGTACAGTTGTCATCGTAGTTATTGAGCTAACAACAGCTGATAGCAGGAATTAGCGAGCAGCTAGTCGGACGAGGGAAACGCAAACCTGACAGACACTATGAAGATGAACATCTGGGGAGACAAGGAATTGCGCGCCCTCCTTGCCCTCGCAAAATTAACCGTCAGATGACAGGAACGGTGAAGAACGGGCCGACTTATGAGAGAATCGCCGAAGGACTGACCAGCTGCAGCTTCTCTCCCACGTTACTGTTTACGTCACACGCTGAGCTACACGTTTTACTTTCTCACACCCCCCATTGCCCCGAAAAAGGTGCATTTTGTATAAACAAAAGTAGGTAGGCGGCATTTTGCCACACTCCCTGATTTTGTTTTTATGCTGCCAATGCTTAAAAAAGACTGATTGGGCTTTCCTGCAAATTTGCACACCTCCTATCTGAAAAGGGCTTGACCCTCTCTGTGGTAGGTCCAAAAGCTGGGCCTCTACTCACCGTCTGCAGAAGATCAGAGACTTATCTACCAGATGAATTGTTGGCACCTATTTTAGCGTCAAAGTTTGTTGGCACTATTGAAAAAGATTTCCCTCCGTTACAGTCACTGATCAGTATTTGCTTACATGTGCTGGGCTGACTCTGTTGTTTTTAAAGTCATTAATAACCCACAGAAACATTATGTGCAATGGTCAGAGGTGGGACCAAGTCACAAGTCAGAAATCTTTGCACTCATGTCCTGAGTCAAGTCCTGAGTCAAGATAGGCAAGTCCTGAGTCAAGTCCCAAATCAAGGCTAACAAGTCCCAAGTCGAGTCTCAAGTCCTAAACTATGCGTTTTGAGTCCTCAACAAGTCATTATGCGCTCTTCACCAAATGTAATGCTTTTTTAGCAAGAGAGTATTAAAATAAATGTATGAATATCATGGATGCTTTTAAAAATTAGTATTTATTTGTTAAAACAAGTTTGTTAAAACAAGTGTGATGGAACCTAATCTTAAAAAAGAAATGCTAAAATTGCACTTTCACAGCATATGGCACTGTTTACCACAACAGAATGAATTTTGTATATTTCTGTCCTGTATTTTGTGAACTCAAGTTAGATCAGAAAAATGTTTATAACTTTCTCTTCCCAAATTTGTAAGACATTTTCTGTAAGACTATTCTTTATTCTTCTTATGTTGTTTGCTTGTTTTAAGTTTTATATCTAAATAAAAACAAGATAAATGTTAACATACATAGATTTAGGACAGTGTTTCCCCTAGGACTTTTCCAGCAGAGGTGCTGAAGTGCATACGTGTTGTTTTGCCCCCCCTTGGAAGATATTTAGTGCGTTAGCTGACATGGTATGGGCTTTAGAGGGTGGGACCACATATGTGAACACATTTATACATGTCGAATTATGTATGATAAAATGCTTCCCATACCCCATGTGCTTTTGCCAAGTCTGGCCAACAAAAATGAAAGCAAGTGATGCTTGCGACTAATAGACATGCTTAGTGGAGCTCCAGGAATACAGCAGTTGCCTCTGTAATCAGGCCCGTGTGCTGCCGGGAATGGACAGCCTGGAAACTGGGCAGTTTGCTGGTGGATTAAAGGAGTGGAGGAGTTTTTTGGCTTGTTGCAGCCTCTGCAGAAGCTTTCAGTGCAATATGTGTGTGACGAGTGAGGAGAGAGAGGCAGAACTCGGGACAGGCAGGTGAACAATGTCAGGTCAGCAGTAAACCATGACTGTAGAAATGTTCAGTGTGAGCTACAGTTTCCCAAACCACCAGACAGTGAAGAAATTGTGTCATATGACTGGCTCTTGACTATAGCAGCAGTGCAGCATTTCCCTGACATCGTTATATGCCAGTTTGGATCGCCCAACCCTATATCTGACCACTTATTGCTTTGTTTTTTCTTATTTTATGTGATGGAAACCAATATTTGGCACATGATACTTACTGACACTCTTAACTTGTTTTAATTTCTGTTCCTCAGGAGATGCAGAATGACTTGGACAGAGAGACAGCCAGCCTGCAAGACCTGGAGGCACAGAAACAAGATGCCCAGGACCGCCTGGAGGAAATGGACCAGCAGAAACACAAACTAGAGGACATGCTGAACGAAGTCAGGATGAAGTGCCAAGAAGAGTCTCAGATGGTGAGGGAGAGAGGAAGAACTGGGGGATGTGGGAGACAGTGAAAACATGGCAGAAGTTTCCACCCCTGTGATGCAAATTGGGGTTTGTTTTACAGTTCAGCTAAATGTTACAATTACTAAGAGGCAACTTAGATAGTGCCAAAGGGAAGAAAGTAAAGTGTCTTTAATGATGTGGTGGCAGCTTATGGCTTTAATAAATTGTCAGATACAGAGATGATTTCAAAGGCCATTGTCACTGGGCAGATGTTAATTTCATTCTGTTCTGCCTCCAGATCTCAACCCTCCAGAGTCAGATCCACTCTCAGGAGTCAGATTTGCAGAGCCAGGAGGAGGAGCTGAGCCGGGCAAAGGCCGACCTTGGCCGGCTGCAGCAGGAGGAGAACCAGCTGGAGCAGAGCCTTGCTGCTGGCAAGGTCCAACTTGAGACTATCATCAAGTCTCTGAAGGCCACACAGGATGAGATCAACCAGGTAGGACACAGGGACTTACTCTGTGTTTGTGTGTGTGTGTGTGTGTGTGTGTGTGTTTCTGAAAAGTGTCAACAGAGGGCATCATTGCACTGTATAATCTACTTCTCTGTTACCACTGAAGTCGGTATTTGTGTGTTCACATGCATTCATCTCTAGAAGGTGTTCAGAAATAAGATATCCTAATCAGACATAACTGAAGAGCTGTCTCAAGCAAGAAGAACATGCACCAATGTATCCATTTATCCCACTGTTATTGAACTGTGTGTGTGTGTGTGTGTGTGTGTGTGTGTGTGTGTGTGTGTGTGTGTGTCTCTCTCTCTCTCCTGCAGGCTCGTAGTAAGTTGTCCCAGATTCAGGACAGCCAACAGGAAGTGTCCAAAAGCATTGAGCAGTACAACAGCACCTTGAACGGAACCCATGGAGGCAGTATGACCAACCTTGCTGATATGAGTGAGGGCTTCAATGACAGAGAGAACGGTGGATTCCCAGCCATGGTGAGAGCAGCACAGGTAAGGATCTCTATAAGAACTCTGCTTCTACCTCCCAATGTGGCTGATAACACATTCCAGTTCTAGACTAAAGGGCCTCTAACTGATGTTATCAACAGGCTAGAATGCATTTGAATTAAGGGACCACAGGCTACGTTAGCAACCCTACATGATATTGTTTAAACATGGGGATAACGGCACACATATTCAGTCTCTCCATGGAAACGTTCATAGTGTTGCACTCACTTGTACACGTGAAAAGTGGGTCCATTCCATTTTAGAGTGCCACATAAAAGGTAACGCTGAGGGCCAGGAAAGCTGTTTTAATGGAATGTAATCTGTCAGCCAGCAGCATCAACTACGTAATTGTCAGCTGACAGCAAACAACAATGACGGTCTATGGGGCAAAAGCCATAATAGCTTTCCTAATTGACAAATAATTGCCTGCATTAACAGTAATGATTTGAATATGATTTTACTTAAGCCTAAATCATCAGTTTTCAGTCTTATCAATCTGATTTTATTTTGTTTGTATGAGCCATGTGGTTGTGGCTAAATATTGGCCGCTCTTACTGCTCAAAGTTAGTGGAGGATCTGGCGCATCTGCTGGCTATGATACCCATCAAATGGTGCACATACTCCACCTGCTAGGCACACCACAGGCGTACGCTGGTGTAGTAATGGTGCAGACCCATTGTGAAATATTTGTGTCAAGAATGCAAACCCAAGCTCTCACCTTGCTTTTTATTGTGTGAAGTGTGTGTTGGACTTGGGCTGTATTAATTTCTTCATACCATCATACCTTTCTGACATTTCACTGGTGTAGATGGTATGTGGCAGCGTTTACTGAGCTGCTGGTAATAGAAATCATTGAACAACTCATGACATTGTCTATGGCAAGGCGATACATGAAAATCAGCAGCAGTTCAATAAAGCATATTGGCATCTTAATATTATTTTTGATACAAGAAACAGACCTTTAAAATATTTCAGCTAACAGTATTGGTTTATTTAGAATTCTTAAAGATTGCAGAAAAAAAGTTTTTAATTCCAGGCTTTTTAGAATCCTACTCCTCCTCCTCTTTGCCCGGGCCTATTATCATCTAGACAAGAGATTAGCAGCAGTCTGCAAACTGCAGCATGCCAAATTCTTAGCTGTCATTTCTGTTATTTGACCTGTCTTTTGCTAAATCCTTCGTTATTATTTTTCTCCCTGATTCTCCAATGTGTTCCCTGGAGACTGCACTCATCTAATCCTACAATTTAGCTCTGCTTCCATTCACTTTACTCATAATAACATAATTACCTTGGCTCAGGCCCTCTTACACCTGGCAAACAGTTCATGGGATCAATGGTGGGATCATACTCTGCTGCCCTCTGCTTCATAGGATTTCCTATGAAGCAGAGGGCAGATCTTCTAATGAGCCATAACAAGATAGAGCCCAGCACAGAGTGAGGATGAGTCAGGATGGCACATGAAGAAACGTCTTTATGTACTTACACACACACACACACACACACACACACACACACACACACACACACGTATACACACATACACATACACACTGTTGCAAGTTGCAGTTCCATATTGGGCGTCCTTGTCACAAGGCTTTAAATCAGACTAGCAGAATGCATACAGAGCAAGGCAAACTGCAAAAAAAAGTACTCCTGTGTTTTGAAAGCGAAATTCAATCTTGAGGGAAGTGGATTGGTATGTATGTGTGCCCTTATGTGGTGTAATTAGGGCAGGCTTTGCTCTCCCTAGGCATTCTTTTAAAAAGCTCTCTTAAGGTTCAGTGCCACACTTTTGGCTAAGTGAAAAACTATTAAAGGATAGTTCATTGCAACCTGGGTCAACTGGTAGTATTGTCCATCTTTTGATGCCTCCATGCCGGCAAAGGTCGTGGCTGGAGGCATTATCTTTCTGGGTTGATTGCATGTATGTCTGCCCGCCTGTCCCATTCTCATGAATGCGATATCTCACTTGCTGTGCTCTGAACAGCTGAACTGGCAGCTCTTGGCATTTCTCTCGCTCTACCAGTTGCAGTGGCTTAGACATACACTCAACATGTCAAAAGCCAAACAGTCATTGTTAATATACTGTAAAAAGAAAGACGAATGCAGTTGTGAATGTAGCAAACCACAACTCTGCCTACTCCATCCTACAATGACTGCAAACTTACTTTTAAACTCAATTTTAAATCATTCTAAATAATCTTTTTATCTTTGGACCTTTTATCTGCTCTTCTGATATTTTTAATTGTGATTTGTTTTGTAAACTTGTAAATAATTTTGTGATTAATTTAAACTTTTATATCTTTTCTCTTTACTCTTTTATTGTAAATCTGCATCCTTTATTATGTTTTATATTTCATTGCTCTGTAAAGCACTTTGAATTGCCCTGGTATATGAAATGTGCGATACAAATAAAGCTGCCTTGCATTGCCTGCCTAATTGTATATTGTCAGTTTGCATGGATGTGCAATAAGGTGCAAATAATTAGTACTGTCAAGAGATTAAAAAAATGGAGAGATTAATTAATTATGATCTGTAATTAATTGATCTAATTAATCTCTTTTTTAATCTCATCTCAAAATTGCCGAGAAAAGCCTTCAACTTGAGGTATTTTCATTTAAATTCATTACATTATTGTGGCAGATGATCAAAAGATTGATATATATTACAAAAAGTGGTTTTATAAAGTCATAATTATTGTTTTCAACAATAACACACTTGAACACAGATGCAGTACACCTAGCCATTACATTCTAATGTTTTTGAGATTAGTCCCAATATAGAGTGCTGCAACCTTCAGTCTCGACTGTCATGACATGTCAGCTTCATTAAAAGCATAGCTGCAAATTAATGCAACAATAGATGTAAAAACACACAGAAACAATAAATCTGTGATCAGTTCCCCATTTTTATTTTAACAATTTTCTAAATTATTTTCCTCTTTTCCAATTTCTCGTTTTATTTCATGGATGTAATCAATGTAAGTGCACTTGTCCTTTAAACTTAATAAAAAATAAAAGCTAACAAAATAAAAGACACCTGGTACATTCGTTACAGCTGTATCAGTTTATAGAACAGTTTTGAACAGTTACAACAAAAGGCTGCTCTGCAACGTGCAAATCACTCCTTCTCGTGGCTGCCTGCGCTTTCCCTGTCCTTGCGGCTGCAATTTGCGCTGTCTTCTCTTCTTCAAACTACAACACCCGTAATTCATGCCGGAACTGCTGCAGCCAATGTGCAGCCGGTGGGAGCTGCATGACAACTCAACCACCATGATCAGTTTTTAATGTTTTATCAGGCAATTACTACTCCAGACTCTGCTCTAGTGTAATTTTCGGGACAATCAGGGCAGGATTCAGGATTCAGGACAACTGCTTGGATTTCGGGACTGTCCCGAATTTTTCGGCACAGTTCCGAAATCCAAGCAGTTGTCCTGAATCGTGAATCCTGCCCTGATTGTCCCGAAAATTACATGGAGATTGCCGGGGAGGTGAGATACTTGCGTGCTAGGGCAGACAGCTTTTCATAGGCTCCTGAGTAAGCAGACCACCACTGCAGGGGACAGTCATCAATGCTGATGCTGGGCTCTGCTCTGTAGCGCTGCAGCTCTCCCACAACTCAAGCACAAAGAAGCCCAATCTACGCCTACAGACGGATTTTATAAAAGGCAACTCTGTGGCATACAGAAACAGTAAAGTAACAGTAAAGTTAGGGATTAAAAATGAGATTAACGCGATCATTAAATGGAGATGCAAACTGCAACTTCTCGTATGCCTGTTTGATAAAGCACGTGTTTGAGGCAGAGTGCCTGAAAACAGACTGAAGTAGAGAATCTGGCACTTTGTGTATGCAATGTTATCAGTACTGTCATGTATTGCATATGTGTGTGTATTTGCTAAGACTGTTTATCTCCCTCTGTCTCTTTCTTTATCACAGGAGGATCCATTCAAAGTGAAGCCGTCTGTGTTCAACAATCAGCCTCAGGAGCTTCACACTGACCCCTTCCACTCTGAAGACCCCTTCAAAACAGACCCGTTCAAAGGTTACTATTCCCCTCTGTTTATCAGTGTTCCTCGGGATATTTAGCTTCTCTTCCCCGACTCTATTATCCATGTATTCTGCTCTTCTTCTTCCTCATCCCCTCTTTTTTTCACACATTATGCCTCTCCTCTCATCTCTTAGCTGACTGTTTACTGCTCTGTTTCTCTTTAGTTTTCTGTCCTCTAGACAGCTCATATTATTTTTAACATTAGTTGCTCTCTGACTGTCTTCTTTGTCTTCTTTGTCTTCCTCTTTTTTCCTCCCTCTCTGCTGGATTCCTCTCCTTTAGGTGACCCTTTCCTAAATGACCCTTTTGCAAAGCAGCCATCAGCAACCACAGGTATTTACTTAGAAAAACGAGCTCAGTTTTGTTGCCTCAAGATGCAATCATGCAATCAGAACTTGGTGGTCCAAGGTCAAGGTTGCCATGACCTCATAAAACACGTTTTTGGCCATAACTAAGGAATTCATGTGCTAATTATGACACAATTTTTACACTTATGCAGGGGTTAAAGTTCTGAGGCACAGGGCCGGATTTCCGGCGTGGCGAAGTTTATGTCCGGCACGGGCAGAAGTGCTCTGCAGCGCGAGCATTTCACTCGCATTTGCCCCTAAAAATATATATATGTGCGAACCGGGAAAATGATTTAGGCGCACAGTGTGCCTACTGTTTACCATAATTAGCATCGGACGTTTTTTCATCGATAACCGATCAAATAAATGTATTTTAAAACTCGCTCCTTTGGCTCTGATACAGCTGTACATATATATATATATATATATATATAGCTAAAAGCTCTGCTGGTTTTCTACCCGGAAGTATTTGTAAACAACAAGGCGATTCCCTCTATAGTCCGGCCGGACGGATGAGTCACAGCCTTGTAAAAGATTATGTTTGTTTCTTTTAGTTGGCGAGAATGTGTCGCCGCAAACGCGACAAACATCCACTAACTTTGACAGCGTTTTCTGCGAGCGTGGCTGAGCCATTTTGTACCGCTACACATGTTTGTAGTGGGACTATGTTTACAAGCACAAGAGTTCAGCGAGCCACCGAAGGACCGCCCTGCAGATTTACTATTGGTTCTGCAATGTAGGGAGTTTTTTTAAACTCTGAAATTGTATCCGCCCATCTAAACACAAAATCAGAGAGAAAGTCATCAGTCTTTAGTTAAGCAAAGCGTCTAAAGACTGACTTGTGAGTCTAAAAAGTGTGGTAACCACTGAAAGTTTAATCTTTATTTATAAAATCATTATGCTATTAAAGCTTAATCTGAAAAGTAACTACTAAAGCTATAATCTTTTTGTTCATTTTGATAATAAACACGTTCCTTTGCAGCACATATATTTCTGTTTCTTCATTTTGTGATCACAACACCAAACCCCCTGCTCCGGAAAACATTTCAGATTTCAGGCACACAAATATTCCATGCTCCACATTTCAGGCACAACATTTTTTCTTGCTTTAACCCCTGCTTATGTTTAATGGGATAAAATGATAAAGTGACGACATTTTATATCGAAGAGGTCAAAGGTCAGCATCACTGTGACCTCTTAATATTCTGCATTAAACACTTTTCTGGCCATAATTAAGTGTCATCCCTCAGTAACAGAAGAGGAGACATTTGAAATGGTGACAGCAATCTTGGGTGTCAACCTTGAAACTGTGCTGATTGTATAGATGTGTGTGAAGTATCCATGTTTTCACAGACATGGATGTAAACTGTAACTGCAGCTTGACTGGTTCATGGAGGTATACAACTGCAAGATGGTAGTTTTATACATATTGTGCTTTAAATTAAAACAAAGCACGTGCCTCAGTTTTTTTCTGTCATAGCTCACATTTTGGCCATTGTATAGGAAATGAGATGAATTAATACAGATAATAGGATATGTTATTATAATTTATATGGGTTATGATATGATCAGGCTTTTTTGATAAGTTGAATCAGTTCTTTAAGCTTATAAAACTACCTTATTCTGATCTACTGAAACAAACAAAAACAGCACAGTTTTCTGGGAAATGGTGTCTTAACCCTCAAATAACAGTCAGACACACATCCAAGAGTGGCCTGTGCTTGTGGGGGCAGCCTTGTGTTATGCTGAAGTACCTCTACATATGTGAAATAGCAGTATGCGCAACTGTGACTTCTGTCACACTTCCCTCTTCAGCGATATTGAGTTTCACTTCTCTGCCAAGTAGATGAAGATTAGTGATAGAAATCACACTTTTTCACACAGTAGTACAACCACTTAAACTACTCCACAGTATACAACCCAGTATTGCTTGCTTGGTCCCTGCCTTTGGTTAGATTTTCTAGTATGTGAAACCATCCTTTTTTCCATTCATTATATGTACAAGCCCCCCATCATACATCTGATTTTCGTGGTAATCCAAAAAAAATACATTTTAACTGCAAACATTTCATCCTGCAGAACATTTCTGCACCAGATATCACTGAAATCTGATGCTGGGTGTGAAGGAGCATGCACTGACTGATATCTGCAACTCTTGCCTGGGTTCATAACCCAAAGGGTGCCTCTTATCATAGTCATCTACAGGGCTGGACTGAGATATAAAATCAGCCCTGGACTTTTGCCCAGCCCAGCCCACCACAATCGGCTGGACATCATCCTTGTACTCCCCTTCAATACATGAACATACCAGCCCCAAATACCACTACTTAGCTGAGTGGTCTGAGGGAGGACCATCCTACTTTCTTATAAAGATCACAGTGGTGTGTAGAGGTTTGACAGTCTTCTAGGAACTAGAAACTCTTAAAATGCAGTCAGCTAGAGTTCAGATTGCAGACAGCTAATAAGCTAGCTAGCAGAAAAAACAGCATTTGTTATTTGTCATTTGTTATTTATTGTGTCAAGTTCAAATAGCTAGACATACACTCCCTGTAGTGCTGCTTACCACTTCACCTCCATCACCTTGGGTGCCTCCCTCTCCTACACTCTGAACCTCCTCCTGTTCCCTGCTGTCCTGTCCCTCTGCCTCGGTGGGATCTCTGGCCTCAATCTGTTCCTCTCCTCCATCATCACTGTCCTGATGGCGCACCTGTTGCAGACTAGCGGTAGCAGATGCACATGCACCACCACTGCTAGCCCCAGCCCTCGCAAACAAATGTGTAATTTTCATACACTTGGCGGCCTCCGCCTGTAGATATTTAATCTTTTTATCTCTCACCTTCTCTGCCCCCCTTTGCGCTTTTTATTAGTCAGCTCCATTTGTGCATGTAGCTTCCTTCTCACTTTTCTTTGGCGCTCGTTATCTCCTCTCTCACGCAAGACGTTGTTTGGGGGGAGCGGGGGCTAGTAGGATAGGGGTGGTCCGTGATTGGCCAGTGTTCAGATGAGAGACAAACCAGTGGGCCCATCATCTCTCTGCTCTGTGGGCTGATCAGCCAAAAACCAAAATAAATTTAAAAAAAGAAAAAAAAAAAAAAAGCTTACTACCAGCCCACACTAGAACGGCCCACTGGGAATTTTCCCAGTACTTCCTATGGCCAGTCCATCCCTGGTCATCTATGAGATTCCACAGAAGACATTAACTAAATGCCTCATGTTGTTAAAATTGTACAATACTGCAGAACATACGTGGTCTAATATTGTAGGCATTAGGCGAGGTATTACAGGGAGAATAAATGGATTAAGCTGAGGTTGGCAGTTTTCTGGAAAAGGCCAAAAAAAAACCCCAGAACAAAACAAAAAAACAAAACAAAAATGCTGGAATTTATTATGAAGCTTTCCTCTGTCCTTAGCCCCTTCCACCAAATGAGCACAGGCATATGCAAACACTTTATGGGGTAACCTGTACCAGTACTAGTCATTCATTTCATTTTTTTTTTTTTTTTTCCTCCTACTTGTCTGCATTGGTCTTCATAGCTTAGCGCCACTAAAGGGTGTAAGCTTCTTGTGAAGATTGATGCACTGTTAATCTTGCAGTCAAGTATTTTATACCCATAATGCGTGGTTGTGACCGTCACCCACCCTCCCTGGAGACTAGCCTAACAGCCTTTATTGGAAAAACTTCCTAATGTGAGTCAGAGAGGGCCGTGATACACCAAAGTGTGTCAAGGGGAAAGTAAGGAAACAAGCAAGGGGGAGGGGGCAGGTGCTTAAGTCCTGAGTTATATAGTGACAGTGCATGCGGAGAAGAAGGAGGAAAAACAAACAAACAAATAAACAAACAAAAAAAAAAAACGGGAGAAACAGGCAGTGTAGCTGATGTATTGTGGCCTTGAGGTGGTTGTGCTCCATGCAGATTATCAAAAATAAACATATACATGTCTACTATACTGTACTGAAAAACAAAAACAAAAGAGAAGTCTATACTGAACACCAAAAATGTGAGAGTCTTGGTGGAGGGGGAAAGCCCGATTGCAGAGAAGAGTTGCCAGCGCGGTGTGGTAGGTTTGAGAAGCAAGTGGGCCCCTTTGGAGTGATCCCATCGGTTCTTTGCAATGCGTCACGGAGCTGAAGTATCGAACATGCATGCGTGTATTTGAACCCTCCCAATGTGTTTATGAAAACCATCACCAGGGTCCAGGGCCAGCCCTGCGGGGGAAGGGGGGCAGTATGGCACCCCAAGACCGCAGGAGCGCCCAGACCCCAAGACCAGGGAGCCGCAGAGGCCGCAGGACACCACGCAGGCCCAAGGACCCAGGGCGGCAATGGCCGGCACCCCCAGAGAGCCAGAGACACACCCCAGACAGGCGGGGCAGGAGGGCCCGCCCACCCACCGCCCGATGCGGACCGGGGCAGGGGGCAGCATGGAGGGCTACCGGACACCACTGTCCCATAGTCTGCCCCATCATGAAGCCCCCCAATCCATCAGTGGTCTGCACCTCGAAGAGTGAGTGTATGTGGTGCATTAAAACTGTGGAATGTGTGGTGAGTGAACTAAATGTGGTTTAGGAGGCCAGGCCAGTGTAGGCCCGGCCCGAGGGCTGGAGGGATGGATGGGAGGGGCTAGAAGGTGGTGCCAACCAGACCCCGGCGCCGCGAGGCCCCCAGCACCCATGGACAGCAGGCCAGGCGGGCCCCAAGGAAACCCAACGGGCCACCACCCAACCCCGCCCCCCAAGCAACTGCAGCGTCAGGCCCCCGCAATGGTCCCGACCTGGGCCACACCGCCCGCAGCAAATCGACCCCCAGCAGAAGGACGAGGCGCGCCACCAGGGTGCACGGACACGGATAATCAAAATGTAGGCTGTAGAGCCACCAGTATACCTCTATGTATATGTAGAATGAGAAGGTGTGTGGACACTATACTAAATAAATGAGTAAAGAGACCGAGCAACAATTATCAGATTTATCTGAAGAAAAAACAAATCGTAATGCAAATAATTATACCACAATGCACAGTACCAGTACAAACAACTCACAGTAAATTATACCAATATGTACAGTATCAGTACAAACAACAGCAGACACATAAGGGGTAATGCATAGTGAGCCAGTGACTTGAAAAATAACTCCAGACAGGGGAATGGAACCCCGACGCGCAGCAGTTATTTTTTTTTTAACAGTCAGCAGCTCACTATACATTCTCACACACACTACTAAAACATTCAAATGTTACAACTGGCATCAATATTATTAAATTGCTGGCAGAGTGTATTGACAGAGGAGAGGCGTTCACCAGACAAATGGGTGCGGAGGAGAGGATTTTACTCCTCTTCTCCCGGTCGGAGATGCTGGGTGCCCAGTGGCTGTGAAGGCTGCCCTCACATTTATGGCCAGTGACCGACATGATCTCCCCGCTCTCCAGGCCAGCTTGGGAGAGCTGTGTGGACTAATGTTAACTGATTTTGATGCTCCTCAGTCTAAGGCTGTTGCAGTGAAAAGTCCAGTGTTCACAGCTGGGCGTAACTAAGCTGGGCGATGTTCGTCGATAGCTGCCTCCCTGAGAAGAGAAAAGAAGGAAGGGAGGGGGGTATCACTGTCGGAGGGCTGCCGTAGAATGGCAACGAGGATGTCAGCCGACCAACACTCGCTACCCGGTCCCTGGTTGTGGCGATTTGCGATACTGGCCTGCTAGGAGCTAACTAGCAGACAGTACGGTACAGTCCTCTCTCATCTAGCTAACATTTAGCCGTGTTACTTACTGATCCATTAGAAAGAAAACTAGCTGGACATCTGTTTTGAAGCCTCTTTCGTTTTTGCTCTTCTTGCCTCCTCAGACAGAGGAGCTCGTTTTCTTTTGCTAGGCGTTTTTCACTTGTTTCCAAACTTTGTCCGTCTGCCATTGTGCTTGTGACTCAACTATCTCATGCCCAACTAAAAAAAAAAAACCTCCTGGTAAGGACCAGCTCCAGTGCCTGATTGGCTGACCGACCAGTTTCGCAATACATGATGCGTTTCCTGCCATAAGGCCCCGTTCAGATGTAGCGTCTAAAAGCGCGTGGAAATCGCCAGCTGTGCCGTTTCCATCCTTTTATCCAAGGCGCTTCGGAGGTTGTGCTACTGTCGCGCCTGCCGTTACTAAGCAACCAAAACCGCCTGTCACTCACAGGGGGAGTAAAAAGTGACACAGAAATAGCGTATCATCATGCTCACCAGTTATCCCAAGCTCCGAGCTGATAATTCTCCAGGCATTGTTCCTTCTGTTGGAGTCAAAGTAGTACGACGAAGACAGGTCATGTAACTCTGGGTATCCCTGGACAAGAATGATCAGTTGCTCCTCCATTGCTTGCTGCCTTTCACACCACCGGATGTTGTGAAGTCCGTTGGACGGAAAGGAAGAAGCAGGTCCGTGGAGCTGATTGGTTAATTCTTATCACATGACATGCAGTGTCAGTGCAAGTTGAAATTTTTCCATCTCTGTGCGCCACGGACGCGCATGCAAAAACAGGCACGTCGTACCGAACGCGCGCTGCTACGGCGTCACTTTGGTTTGTGAGCACGCTTGACGCGCGTCTACATTGAAACTAATGGATTTGTGCGCGCTACATTTGAACGGCCCCTTAAAGCAGATTTTTTTTCTGCAAAATTTCAGCACCGGTGGCAGAAGCTTATTACAAAGATTGCAAAGCCACTAAGTAATCTATGTAAACGCTGATAGTCTGATTTTACTGTGACCACTACCCTGTGCAACCCATATTATTTTCATAATGATAAATTTAGGAAAAAATGCTGTCTGTTGCCTCTTTAAGAGGTCACGAAGTTTAAACATGTGTCCATTCCTCGATTATTTATAATCCTTCAGTCAATAAAGGTCCAATGATCAAACGAATCAAAACTGTTTTTCATAAATTCTAATCTATGTTGTGAATAAGAGGATAAAGAGGTGTTGTTTTAGCATGCTGTGTGCTGTAATTCAGTGCCATAAAATGTTGTAACTCTCTCTCTCCTTTTATACAAGTAATATCATACTGGTTTAAATTAAATTAACAATTTGATAGCATTTCCCATTTAATTTTTCTCATTTAATTCCCAGGAAATAAGGGCCCTTCCCACTTCCCAAATATCTGCTGGTTGAGTGATTGAAGCAATTTATTAACTGAAGTTTCATGGTAATTCATTTACCAAAACAGAGACAAAACACACAATAAACCAAGTAAAAGATGAATGTGACAGATAGTATTTTCATTATTATCATCATTATTATTATTTGAAATTTTCTAGAGCTAACATGATAAAATTGTTATCGTGAGTTACTTTGGCCACGATAGTTGTGTAGTGAAAATCTGAAAATCTGTTGTGACTGCCCTATTTGCAGTGCAGGCAGTTATTCCTAATGCTGAAGTATCAACCTTTTTTGTAGCATTTTCCGCTATTAAATCAGGCTTTCACTGAAGGGATGTGCACGCACATCTGCATTTTTAGCACGGCCAATCAGAAACCCTCTATCTGCATTGACTTGTGATAAGCCAAAGTGTCCCATTGTGGGCTAGATTTTGAAAGCCTGAAAACAGAGCCCAGAGGAGGTGCAGAAAATCTAGTGTTCTCTTAGACCAATTTAATGACAGTATGTTCAAAGTTGATTATGGAATTTGTGTCCAATGACTCAAAAAAACAAACAAACAAACAAACAAAAAAACTGCCTACAAAAGTATTAGCTGACCTTATCACAAGATTGGGCCCATGATGCAATGCAGAGGCAAACTGTATACATTACATTAGGGGTGGTAGTCTTTTTACTGGTTGCACATTGAATTGGCACAGACAGCATTAAAGTTCAGGCATAAAATCCTAGCAGTGTCCAATGCTTAAAGTAGAGGTACTGTGAATTTTTTGTCCTTAAAACAATGGCATACACCATCACAAAATGATACTGCTGTTGATCATGTGTAGACTATCACAACATGTTTAAAAAAACTGTCATCTGTTGTTTGAAATTGCTGAGCAATGTCTGTTTTAAGTTGAAGAAACACTCAAGTGAGAACTTCAGTAGCTGAAATTGTGCATCATTTATGCTGCAGATCCTTTTGGTGGAGACCCGTTTAAAGAGACCGATCCATTCAAGGCTTCGTCAGAAGATTTCTTCAAGAAGACCACAAACATGGACCCCTTCTCCACACCAGAACCATTCAGTAAAAGTGCCACATTACCCTCCAAGGTACTTGTTTAAGATGGAAGGCCAGAACATGGAATCTTAAATTCCTAAGAATGGCACAAATTTCAAGATGAATACTTACTGTCAGCTTATTTGAGTCACTAACACAACCACTGAGTTGGGAATTTCCTTGGGATGGATGAGTGCTGTAAGAATCACAAACAGTCTTTATTTTCATGACTATTTACATTGTAGATTCTCACTGAAGGCATCAAAACTATGAATGAACACATGTGGAGTTATGTACTTAACAAAAAAAGGTGAAATAACTGAAAACATGTTTTATATTCTAGTTTCTTCGAAATAGCCACCCTTTGCTCTGATTACTGCTTTGCACACTCTTGGCATTCTCTTGATGAGCTTCAAGAGGTAGTCACCTGAAATGGTTTCCACTTCACAGGTGTGCCTTATCAGGGTTAATTAGTGGAATTTTGGCCCCTTTGCCTTCACTCTGC